CATACCGGATCAAACCAAAGAGCTACCTTGTCTAGCACTATGTTTCTCCTAGTGGCCAACCAGAGGCCTCTCAGAAGCCCACAAGCAGGACATGAGTGTAATGTTTCTTAACCAATGATATTCAGAGGCACACTGGAGCTAATATTTCACCATCATAGCTAGTAGCTATTGATAACCTTGTCCTCTATGAAATTGCCCAATCCACCTTTAAAGCCATCTTTAACGTGGGTGGCGCTGTGGGTTAAACCACAGAGCCTAGGGCTTGGCAGTCAGAAGGTCGATGGTTTAAATCCCCATGACGGGGTGAGCTCCTGTTGCTCGGTCCCTGCTCCTGCCAACCTAGCAGTTTGAAAGCACTCAGTGCAAGTAGATAAATAGGTACTGCTCCAGCGGGAAGGTAAATGGTGTTTCCATGTGCTGCTCTGGTTTGCCAGAAGCCGCTTAGTCATGCTGGCCACATGATGCGGAAGCTGTATGCCTACTCCCACGGCCAATAAAGCGAGATGAGTGCCTCAACCCCAGAGTCGGTCACGACTGGACCTAACGGTCATGGGTCCCTTTACCTTTACCTTTATGTTAGTGGCTGTCACCATACCTTGCGTTACAAATATACCTTGTGTGAAGAATACTTCCTTTTGTTTGTCCTGAATTTCCTACTATTATGCTTCCTTGGATGACGCCCAAGTTCTAGCATTGTGAGAGAGGCAGAGAAAAATTTGGCTATTCCCAATTCTCCTGGCTTCACAGTAAGGTGACCAGCACATTTCTGAGGATCCGATCTGAGCATTTGACAAACCCTGCCCCCTGTCATTTGAAAACAATGAGGCAATACAAAGCCTATTTTCATATATTTCATATTTGCAATTATGAATATTATTTGGCTGTTTAGGAGAGGGGAGAAGAGAAAGTACAAGAGGGCACTTAAAGTTGGAAGAGGCATCAAGCTAAAAGGTTTCTCTCTCCTGTATGGCAGAGGTGGCTAACTTTTTTATTTTAGCTAGAGTTTCACACTTGCCCATGGCTAACTGGACCACATGCCACTAGTGGGTGTGGCCATTCTGAACACACTCACGTACTAACGGGCAGCACACCCACCCACACCCTACCAGCGCAGAACAACTGAGGAATGAAGTTGCTCATCAAATGGTTGATCAGGTAACTGGGGAGGGAGCAATTTGCATCCTCATCAGGGTGCTGGGATTTGTTTTCCCCAGTGCTGTGTCTAAATTGGTCTCCTTTTTGCTACCACGTCTGCCAAAATCTGTGGGATCATGGAGGTCCAGATCAGTCCTCTGAACTGATTATTAGCTCTAGGACATGTCTGCACAGGAAGCTTCCCAGGCTCCCAGCTGATTCAGCTACACACAATGAGAGGTGTTAGAAGCAGCTCCAGAGAAGCAGAGGTCTGAAGTGATATGAGATTCCTTGCACCAAAATCTTACTTCACTTATGTCCTGTTCACAACCCAGTATCTGACAATATTGACTGTGTGGACAGCCGGGAGATCAGGGCAGGCTGTATATGGGAGCTGTGGTGCTTTTATGGCTCTTTGGTATGTTGCCCTAGGAGGACACAGGGAATGCTTAGCCAGTCGCATTGCAGAAGTAGCTTTACAGTCGTGAATTGTAAGTTTCATCTTCCAGTGCTATACATAATCACACCTGCTGCCTGGATTGGGTGTTGAATGCATACTTGTGGTAGTATCTCATCAGTGGTAACAAAGAGGCAGGCTGATGTCCATGTTAGAATTTGGCATTTCCAGGTAGCAGTAAGAGGTTACTGACCCAGACCCTGGGGAGACTTCTTCTGAGGAACACTGGGGAGTACCTCAGGATAAATTAGGACCTAGAGGAACCTACAGTCATCTCAAGACAACCTGATATCCATCCTGGACCTCAGAAGCAAAGGTAGTAGTACACCTGATAGGAAACTCAGAACTGCTGGGTTTTTTCAGGCAACTGTGATTTATTAGGGAGCTATAGCAGGTTAGCTAGTTCCACAAATGATCTATAGTCTAACCGTTTTGGTTTTTCATCATTGTTACATGAAGGTCAGCATGTTGATGTTATAAATGCCAAGCCTCAGTCAATGTTCTTATCACAATTACTTTCTGATCTGAATTGATATTTTGATATCATTGTTAAATAGTTGCTACAAAATCAGGAAATCGGCTTGCCTTAAAAATCCTTAATGTGCCTATTTTAAGAACAGTGTGGGCTTTATTTGTTTATTTTTCTTAATGTTTTCAAATCTGTGTTTGCTATTACAATGGCTAGACCTAAGGGATAACCAACTTGCTAGCTACCCAGTGATACTTTGGGGACTTCAAGCCATCCAAGACCAGACCCACATGTTACACCCAACCCCACCTCTCCAGACTTAGTGACATATGTCATTTCTCCATCTGATCTCCTATCTATGGCTTATACTGTAATCCCTGACAGCTAGCCTCCATCACAGGACCATGATGTGGTCTTTTGGGCTGCCCCTGGGATTGGGTGAGATGGGAGATGTGGAGATTCAGACCTGACTAAGCCAGAATTTCTGAGGCTCCTCTGTGCTTTCTGGGACAAGGATGGGCCCACTGGGGAGTGAGCTCTTCCAAATCCCAATCCCAGACAGGAGGATATTGGAGAAGCACTAGCCACAGACCCCATCCCTCAGAGGCCCTCCCCTCAGCCCCTTTGGCCAGATGAAATGCCCATTATTCTGCCAGTGTGCATGTGCCCAGACTGTCCCATTCTGTGACTGTACAGCACACATGGCTAAATATATATCCACATGTGGAGAGTTCAGAGGGTCTATGAGATGCTCTGTCTCTATGGCCCCTTTTCATGGCTGGTGCTAATGAGATTCGTGTCTTTCCCAGGCTGATGTTTTGTGGGCCGAGGGGCCTTTTCAACTGGATGGGCTTTGGCATAGTCATGGCAAATATTTACCAAAAAAGGGACATACCATATAAATTTAGAGTCCTGAAAATAGAGATTGAGAGAGAAAGAGAGAGACCAAACCAGAAAATACAGCCTAGTCTGTTCAAGAGCAAAGGAGTAAAAATGGAGAGATAAAAAGAGCAAAACCTCGGCAGTAAAAACAGCATCTTGGTAAATAGACTATTAAAAACCCTGCTGACCTGCTTTATGGCTTTCTTGGCTGCCATTCAGCAGGCACCGGGGGAAGGTAGCAGGAGCCGGCGGGCGGGTGCTTCGCTCCCCCCTCCAAGTGGGGCGTTAAATTTAGCCACATAATGACGGCCCTGAGGAAGCAGCCTCTTGTCGGCCACGCAGTAATTACTGCTTCCCTTATGCATTTTATTTTTCTTATTACGTTGCCTCCTCTCCCCAAATGGTGCAAGAATTGCCCAAGGGCAGTGATCTGCTGTGTGCCTCCACCACGACTGCAGCTTTAGTGAAAGTTTGGGCAGAACCCAAGGGCAGTGCAGGGATCTCCCTGGGGCGGGGCTGGGGGAGCATACATTTTGAGGCAGTGGGTTAGTGTTGTTACTTTGAGGGATGGTGGGTCACAGCACTGGATGAGAGTTCAAAGCACTCCCAGTCTACTTTGGCCTGCAAGCCCATATCCTTGAAACAAGGAATCTGGAATCCATAAGAACTGGCAGCAGCATGGATGGATTTAAATCACTACCCAAAAACCTGAGTTAAATCAGTTATTTAAATCAAGTTTCTTCATTTTGTATTTCACGTGTTTCCTGAATAAATGAGCACACTCTTTGGTTGCTGCTATAATTAAAACACATTTGCTTGCATTAAATAGAGCCTTTATACTGTACTACTAGGGGCATATTTCAAAATCTTTGATCGTGCAGCTGACACACCTTTTGTGCTACCCTCAGAGACAAGCAGCTAGCTGTGAACTTAATAGGTTTCTTAGTCCCATACACACATAACTGGGAGTAAGCCTCACTGAACATAGTAGAACTGACTCGTGGATAAACACTTTGGGGAGTGGGGCATAAAGGCAGGATATAACTGTTTCAATAAATAAAATAATCACACATAGAACTAGACTGAAAGGGGTGAATCCAAAGATACATGCGGAAGGTGCCTTCCAATTAGAACAATTTCTCACTAGAGCACCATTAGTAGCCTTCCAGGTGTTGTTGTACTCCACCTGCAGCATGGCCAATGGGTAGGGGTAATTGCAGTTGTAATCCAACAACATCTGGAAGGCCCCTGTTTCCCTATCCCAGCACTAGAGCTGTGGCAGGATACAAGGGGAAGATTCTGATATGTTATTTCTATATGTGCATGGACTTGGTGAACCACAAAAACGGCTATCGAATTTGCTGCAGCACTCTGTGAACACTTGTACACACTTTTTACAGCCTCATTTGCTGAGCAGTGTTTAATGGCTTAACCCTACCTTCCTTTCTCTCAGTTCCTTGTATCCAACGCATGATGTCCAGAACTTCTGAAAAGTTAATGGGGCAGATCTGTGTTTCTCCATGCAAGTAAATATCTATCCCATTTGTTTTGATAGTTATAATCATTCATAATTTAAGAAATGAACACTCTGCAAAACTCAGAGAGCATAAAATAAAAGTAAAGAATCCTATAAAGGGCTTAGCATATGATCCTGATGGGAATCCGAATTGTGTCTCCTGGATCTTGCCACCTGTGCTTACACGCCACTTCTTGGACTCGGTATGAACCTTGCAAAATGCATTTAATATTTTATCTATTATTTGACCTTTGAGGTCAAACATTACAAATATTTTTGCCATTTCTCTTGGTGTCTTTCAAAGAGGAGCATGGGTTCAGTTTAAGAGATTTGATGCATAGGGACAGATTCACTAATGGTTTCTGTTAGCAAAAGCCCGTGCAAAGACTTTCACTAGTGCAATGTGGCTTTCACCCCTCTGTGCCCTGCTCAAAGTGGCTCTGGGGTGGTTGGAAGAACACCAGAGCAGTGCACAGGTGGAGGAGAGAGATCATTCCATCAGGCAAGTGGAAATGCTTGTGCTCACAGAGTAATCTCCTTAGCGTTACATTGAATTCTGCTCAGATACTTCAACATACTTTTAAAAATAGAACTTAGATTTAATTTTAAACCAGGTTATGCCTTCTCTCTTAAATAATATATAGTTGAAACATAAAAGTATTAGAAACCCTATCTTATTTTTTATCTATCTGAAATATATATATCATGACTTGTATCCAATTTTTGCTCTACTCAGAGCAGTTCCATTGCAATTAAATTAGCTCCATTAATTTCAGTTTGGTAGCTGGGAAATCAGCTGAAACTAAAGAAAGCACTTGGGGTGCTATCTTTACTACACAACTTCCTTAATTTTGCAGGCTGGTCATACAGCTGTTCTGTGGCCACTGCTCCACCATGAATGAAGTGAGCTGAAATGTATGGCTTTCAGGTGAAGACCCCTACCATTCTAAGAGAATGAGGCAAGTGATATATCAGCAGACACCTTTAGTTGTTTTTTCTGCTGGTTGATAATCCATCTCTGTGAAAGCTAGTTTCTGATTACCGTATTTTTCGCCCCATAGGACACACTTTTTCCCCTCCAAAAATGAAGGGGAAATCTGTGTGCGTCCTATGGGGCGAATGCAGGCTTTCACTGAAGCTTGGAGAGCGAGAGGCATCGGTGCGCACCGACCCCTCTCACTCTCCAGGCTTCAGGAAGCTATCCGCAAGCCTTGCAAGCCCTGCGGGAGTTCTCGCGGGCTCACAAGGCTTGTGGCAGCAGCCTGCAGCCCGAAGCACGGGGCGTCCTCCGGAGGGCGCCCCATGCTTCGGGCAGGTGTGTCCGCAAGCCTTGCGCGCCCGGCGGGAGGTCCCGCCGGGCGTGCAAGGCTTGGGGCGGCAGCCTGCAGCCCGAAGCATGGGGAGCCCTCCGGAGGGCTCCCCATGCTTCGGGCAAGTGTCCGCAAGGACTTGGGGCGGCAGCCGCGGCTGGGGGGGAAATAATTTTTTTTAATTCATTTCCCCCCCAAAAAACGAGGTGCGTCCTTCTGCTTTAATTTTAACCAAGAGATAACTTGGTCAAATGCAACAGACCACAGCAGGGCAGCACCACTGCCACTCACCAGTTGTGTTCTAACAATGTTCCCATGTTTGTCTTGCATGATAGGAACTTTTCAATGCATGCCGAAAGCCCTAGGTTTAATCCCTGACATCTCCATAAAGGGCAGGGGGAAAACTAAAACCTTGGATAGCTACTGCTAATCAGTGTAGACAATAATGAGTTAAATAATGATAAGGGCCCTTCCATATGTCCTTTTAATTGTATGGTCACGTTTATTTGTGTTCATGATGGTATCGGGTTGATTATACATGATGCTGTTCTTAGTAATGTTTGCACCTGCAGTAGTTCTGGGGTGGACATACTGCCAGCCTGGAGAGACCCTAAGGCAGCTTCCTGAGTTCACAAAGACATCACAGTTCCCACTACAGTGCATCTGTGACCCAAGCTGGACATGGAAGCCATTTCTGAGTTAAGCAGTTCTGTCTTTGCATGCATGCATGCAAATATAGTGGAACCTCGTGTTACGTACTGTCATCTTTGGGAACGATGGGTTACAAGCTCCGCTAACCCGGAAGTAGATGCCCCTTGTTGCGAACTTTGTCCCGGGATGCGAGCGGAAGTCGCATGCCAGCAGCGCAGCAGCAGCGGGAGGCACCATTAGCAAAAGCGCGCCTCATGTTACGAGCGGTTTCAGGTTACAAACAGACCTCCGGAACAGATTAAGTTCGTAACTGGAAGTACCACTGTATTCTGTTAATGCACCCTAAAAAATAGCATTTACCTCTTTTTCTTCGTTTTCTTAAATATGCGCTGTGATCCCGTGTATTATCTTTATTAAATGGTCTTTTACTCAGACCTATGTTTTGGACCCATGTTCTGATTTATCATGTCTCTGCGGAGCTTTTAATCTGGTCTCGTGTAGTATTTGCAAAGCTTCACGAGTGGGAACCCTTGCTAGCCGGTGATTTTTGTCTTTCTTTCTGTCCAGCGGGATGCCAGACCAAACTTGTTTCAGCAGCACTCTCTTGCGACTTCTGAATTCAGAAAGAAAAATAGCTTTTATGCTTTCCACCTTCCCCATGGCCAGTCTCTATGAGCCTCCTTGGAAAAAAAAAAGACAAGGAGGGGGGAAGGGGTTCATAGGGGAATGACTTGTGCTTGCACTGGTGCAATTGGGGGACACTTTTAGGCTGGGCAACGACATTCCAGGAAAGGTCTCATTCTTGGGCTTGTTTTCCCAAAACAAAGGAAGCAGCCTTGCATTGCTGGAAGTTGCGTGCTTTGGTTGTGCTGCCTTGTTATCATCCGATAACCTGGCGACCCTGGCGCTGCCCTGCTCCTCACCCGGCAGCCTCGGGCTAGGGGATGTGAACAGCTTCCGCACACTTGCCCTTGTGCACAGATTCACCTTCCTTTCAGTGCATAGCATAGCATGGTGTGTGTGTTACGCATGCAGGGATAGCATTAGGGAGGGGTGTCTCTGAACCTTCTCTATCTTCGCTTTCCTCAGCCCTGTGGTGATGTAATTCTGTGGACAGGCTACCATGGAAGGGTAGATTTCCCATCATGCATCAAACATCATCAAATGGCTATTTTACACTTGCAATCTCTGAAAGGATTTTATAAAATTGTGGGTGGCTATACTAAGAATGATGTTCTAATTTCACACTTGGAATGGCCCAAAGAGCGACGCGGGTGGCGCTGTGGGTAAAACCTCAGTGCCTAGGACTTGCCGATCGCATGGTCGACGGTTCGAATCCCCGTGGCGGGGTGAGCTCCCGTCGTTCGGTCCCAGCTCCTGCCCACCTAGCAGTTCGAAAGCACCCTTAAGTGCAAGTAGATAAATAGGTACCGCTTTATAGAGGGAAGGTAAACGGCGTTCCGTGTGCTGCTCTGGTGCCAGTTCGCCAGAGCAGCTTCGTCACGCTGGCCACGTGACCTGGAAGTGTCTGCGGACAGCGCTGGCTCCTGGCCTCTAGAGTGAGATGAGCGCACAACCCTAGAGTCTGTCAAGACTGGCCCGTACGGGCAGGGGTACCTTTACCTTTAATGTCCCAAAGACGTCTGAAAGTCAGTCATAATGGCACAATTCATTTATTTATTAGAAATATTTTTATACCGCTTTTTATAAAATCTCAGAGCAGTGTACAAAGTTAACATTCAAAACACAACAATAAAATCATATACACAAGGTTAAATACAAGTTAAATATGATGTCTCTTGCCCTGTTAAATCATCCATTGATAGGTTGCTAATGATGCAGTCTCCATTGACTGGAGAAAGCATATTTGGGCTGTGGGCTGTGGGCTGTTGATCTGACTCAGCCACAGATCTTGTTGAATGAGGGATATGAGGAGGAGATTGTTTAGCTTTATAGATCGAATGTAGTATGTGAAAGCTGTGTGGGGTTTTTTATATTAAAAATGTACAAAGAATAGCTGCATTACACACCCTGCATAAATTATACAAATTAATAAAATGTACATATATTTATTATACATAATTTATTCTGCGTCTCCAAAGCTTTTTTCCTCATCCTGTAGTTAGAACACTGAAGTTTTACCCCTGCTCAGCTTCCCACTTTTCAGCAGGGAATATCTAAAAATACAAGCTGTGGCTTGTGGACTTTAGAGCAGATATTGCTCACACTTTCAAGCCAATTTTCACAAGCCTTGAGTTATGGGAACTTTGCCTTGTTAAAGATAAAACCTGTGGTACTAAGGGCCCTTCTGGAGCACCTTCACAGATTTCACACAGTCCTGCCACCAGTAGGAATGTGTGCTTTTACATAGGCTATGAAAAAGAGAGAGAATACCTCGGGTTACATACGCTTCAGGTTACATACGCTTCAGGTTACACACGCTGCTAACCTAGAAATAATGCTTCAGGTTAAGAACTTTGCTTCAGGATAAGAACAGAAATTGGGCTCCGGCGGCAGCAGGAGGCCCCATTAGCTAAAGTGGTGCTTCAGGTTAAGAACAGTTTCAGGTTAAGTACGGACCTCTGGAACGAATTAAGTACTTAACCCGAGGTACCACTGTACAGTGTGTAGTAAGTAAAAGAAATTATTTTTTTTAAAAAACTCTATTCAAGATGGGCAGGGCCCTTCAGGTTTGCTCTGCAAAGATTTTGATGAATTTCTATATTCAGAACTTGCTGAAACTTCCTGCTGGATTCTAGAACTTCTTGCTCTTTCTGGGCTCTACTGCCAACCCTTGCTGCACATGAACAGAGGCCTCAACATTAAAATTCCAATGCTGGTTTGATGGCGGAAGTCCTGGGTGGATGCCCAAATTTAGCACTGTATTCTCAGATAAGCTTAATTTTGGTGACATTATTAGTACCCCCATTTCCCAGGCTGGGGAGCAAGACCAATTTTTTCCTCCTCCCCTGTTTTCATAGGGTGAAATCTGCAGTTCTTTGTTCTTATAATCTCAGCTTTTAATATTTAAAAAATATTTCTAAACCTCTGTCTTTACACAGAAAAGTCCTTCCAAATGTGCAAAGTTCTTACTCTTTCTGTTGGGAAAAGAAAATTTAAATTACCATATTGGCCCGAATATAAACTGCACCCTAATATAAGCCGCACCTTTAAAAAATAAATAAATACCTGAATATAAACTGCTCCCTTCCTCGCTGCTCCTGGCTGCATACGGGGGGTGGGGGGAGCTATGCTGCGTTGCTGGTGGCCTTTCCCCTTCCGTGCTCTCTCTCTTCCTGGTCTTAGGGGAGAGGACAGGGGACTACGCGCAGGGCGGGTGCCGCTTTGCCGTGCTCCTGGCACTGTTTGCCCCATGCTCCTGGCTGCATACTGTAAGGTTGCGAATTTGGGGGGAAAGTGAGGCTTCTATTCAGGCCAATACAGTATTTGAGGATTTTATGCACACCTTGCACAATATGATTTCTGTACAGAATAGATGTTTCCAGAGCCTGAGACTCTTTAGCTCAGGCCCGTGGGTTTGAACCTCAAGTTGGGCAAAAAGATTCCTGCATTGCAGGGGCTTGGACTAGGTGACCTTTGTGGGCCTTTCCAACTCTAACTTTTTATGAATCTTTGAAGCTACCTTATACCAAGCCAGATGGTTAGTCTGTCTAATCTAGTCCTCTTTCTTTTGGCTGGCCTTGGCTCTCCAGGGTCTCTGAGAGAGGAGGGTCTTCTTGATGACCTCCCACCTGGGGATCAAGGCAAACGAGAGCCAGAGCATGTGTGTGCAACCCTGCCAGTCTAGTCTGTTGCTTTTTAGCTATAGTTGGACCAAGCTCACTCATGCCTTGTGCCTGCCACTAAGATTTCTGTGAGGAACTTGCCTATTTTCGGATCTCCTACAAATAGTTATCTACAACATAATGGCCTAGGGAATTTGATGCACACTCTGGATCCTTACCATGGATTTTGGTGTTCTGATCAAATTATTTTTAAGACTTAAAAAAAAAATCCTCCAAGAACTGTCAGAAAAGAATAGCACAGAAAGGAGGATTACCCCAACCCTATGGCACGCCCAGGAAAAGGAAAAGACGGCCAGTATGTCCTCTTTACCACAATCTGCACGTGTGCCAGTGTAAAGGAAGCTTGCGTCTGTCTATTTATTTGCTCATCATCACTTCTTACTCATTGTGGGTGTTTTTCTTTCCCTTCTCTTGGGTCTTCCCTCCCCACCCCCCACTGCTCTAGATCTGTAATTTGTTTTATGACTTTCCCCTCCCCCTCAAAATCTCTAGTTTTAGGAACTGAAAACAAAAAGTATTTTTAGCTACTCCCTGTTGAAATATCATGCTTGGTGCGTTGTTGCTATTAGTTTAAGCCTCCATCCCACACATGCACATAAAGGAGAGTGGGGATGCGTGCTGGAGTGGTAAATGAGCACAAGGCATCTCCAATCTGGCCTTTATTGAGGTCTGGCCTGGTGTGGCACAAGAGGGATGTGCCCTGGAATGAGCCAGCCACCAGCGTGGGCTGTCCTTGTAATAAAGCAATTCTATATTTATTCCATCTGTTTATCCTTTGCCCTGTAATAGTGCAGGGAGCCTTTCAAACGGCCTTTCCCCATTTTGGGCTGGAGGGGGATTGGAAGGCAGCAAGGAATTTGTGGATATTCCAAGGACCATGTGTGCTTGCTCTCTTTTAAACATGTGCAGCTGAGAGACAGAGCCCATCTCTGAATTTGGAGGAAAAGAATGGGAGGTCCTTCTGCCTTAAACCTGCATTTGGGAGGGATCCAGAGCAAAAGGCCCTGTGCAAAACTTTTTTTTACTTTCTTGTACCCTACAACCCTATAAAGGTTTTTGTTTGTTTGTTTGTTTTTACCCTTCTATACAGGTTTTTCTCTAAAACGCTTTCCTTTCAGGGAGTATTCTACGCTTCCATGGATCACAGATTTAAACAGGCATTTCAGTGTTTATCCTAATGTGCATTATGTGACTGGAAGATTCCAGCTAAGCCCCCGGGATCTCTGTGGTATAGTGGTTAGAGTGTCAAACCAGGAATGGAGAGGCCTAGGTTCAAATCCTGACTCACCCATAAAATTTGCCGGGTGATCTTAGGCTAGTCACTATCTTTCAGCCTGAGCTATCTCACAGGGAGTTTGTGGTGATAACGTGTCTGTGTGTGGGAAGAGGCAGTGTATGCTGCCCAGAGCTCCTTCTTCCAAGGGCTAGTTATAAATGTAATAAATAATAAATTTCACAGGTAGCATGACATCCACACAAAGCCTGCACATGGACTACGGTATACAGCCAGCCCATGTGTTAGACTGGGGAAATAGCAAGAGATAGCTAAGGTTATAGGGAATGGATGTAACAAATCTGTGCATTATTGCATTTGCTGGTTTTGGAAGCTGCTTTCTATGCTTCTGACCGCATCAAAGTACCAAATGGAGGGACTAGGAAGCTTGTGTATGAGCATGCCCTTGGAGCCAATTCAAACTGCATATGCATAGATAGCAGTGCCATAGTGTTAGAATGGAAGATGTTCATCTCCAAACTTGCATCGCCTATGTGCTTGGAAGACACATCAGTCACAGATCTGCAGTGCACATTCATGAGTGTTTTGTGATGCACACCTTCCCTTCATGCTGGGGCAAAACTTGCCTGCTATGTAAACCATGACTGAGTTGTATAAAGTAGTTATGTTCTAGCCCTAGAAGCCCTAGAATTTCCTACATTGATTGCTATAAATGATGCCTTAAAATGGGATCTGAAACAACATTTGGTTTATAGGATGGAAAATACTTATGTTGGTTTACCTTAGATAATGAATAGAGCAAACAAGTTGGAAAGGAATAGCCTGAAGGCTGTTTTATCTGATTCCTTCACTTTAATAGAAAGCATTTAAGAAATAACATGCAACTGACAAATAGATAACATCATGTCATGTTTTCGATTCATGATGTACTGTGTATATGCTGTAGCTTCCCAGTGAATATACACTGCAGTCATTAAGAAGTACTTGTGTGGCGAATTAGCACATCTGATTCTTGATTTCAGTTAGTGCATCTTGATTTCAGTAAAGCTTTTGACAAAGTTGCCTATGATATTCTTGTGGGGAAGCTGATAAAATACAGGGTGGACAAGATCATTGTTGGGGGGATTTGTAGCTGGTTGACTGATCAAACCCAGAGTTCTCACTAATAGTTCCTCATCATACTGGAAAAAAGTGACAAGTGAGGTGCTACAGGGTTCTATCCTGAGCCCATTGTTGTTCAGCGTCTTTTTAAATGGCTTGGATGAAGGAATTGAGGGGATGCTTATCAAATTTGCAGATGACACCAAACTGGAAGGGGATGCTAATGCTACAAAATCAGGATTCAAGATTACCCTAACAGATTGGAGAACTGGGCTGAAACTAACAAAGTGAATTTCAGTAGGGACAAATGTCAGGTTCTACACTTAAGCAGATAGAACCAGCTGCCCAAATGTAATATGGGGGACACCTGGCTTGCCAGTAGTATATGTGAAAAGGCTCTAGGGGTCTTAGCAGACCACAAGCTTAACATGAGTCAACAGTCAGGTAGGTAGCCATCTTGGTCTGATACAGTTGAAATAAATAAATAAAGTCATTGAATGTCTGGTGGAAGGTGTCCAGGGTCTGCTGACCATGTGTCCAGATAATAAACATATTGTCAGTGTATTGCAGGTACAAGAGAGGTTTGAGTGGATAGGAGTTTAGGAAGCGTTGTTCCAAATCTGCCATGAAGATGTTGGCATACTGTGGGGCCATGTGGGTGCCCATTGCTGTGCCACTGATCTGGAGGAACAGGTCACCTCCAAATTTGAAGTGGTTGTAGGTGAGGACAAAATAGCAGAGTTTGGTAGCAAAGTCCACTGTGATTTTATCTGAAATGGTGTTCCTTATAGCTTGTAATGCATCGTTGTGTGGGATGTTGGTGTACAGGGATTCCATATCCATAGTGGCTAGTATAGTATTGTTAGGTAGATTGTTCAAAGATTGTGTTTTCCTCAGAAAGTCTGTGGTGTCACGTATGTAGCTAGGAGTACTGATGGCATACGGTTTCAGAACAGAGTCCAGAAACACACACTATGATAGTGCCGATATCTGAGATGATGGGGCATCCTGGATTTCCTGGTTTGTGTATTTTGGGTAGAAGATAGAAGTTTCTGGTCGAGGTTCTGCTGGTGTGTTTGAGAGGATCTGTTCTTGGATGTGTGGGGGTAGCTCCTTAACAATCTTGTTCATTTCTTTTTTGTATTCCTGTATTCCAGTTGTTTTTTGTTTTTTTGCTTTTTGTGTGTGCAAAAGATGGTATTGGAGAGTTGTCTGGGAGCCTCCTGGATGTAATCAGTTTTGTTCATGATGACAACAGCTTCACCCTTGTCTGCCTCTTTAATTATAATGTCCAGGTTGTTCCTGAGATTGTCTATGGCCCTCCTTTCAGCATGGTTTAGATTTTGTTGTAAGCGATGGCGTTTTCTGGTCACGTCAGTTTGGATTCTGCAGTGGAAGCAACAGTGTGATACAGCAGCAAAAAAAGGCTAATGCTATTCTAGGCTGCATCAAGAGAAGTAAAGTGTTCCGATTAAGAGAAGTAATAGTCCCACTCTATTCTGCCTTGGTCAGACCCCACTTGGAGTACTGTGCTCATTTCTGCGCACCATGATATGAGAAGGATATTGACAAGCTGGAACGTGTGTAGTGGAGGTTGACCAAGATTATCAAGGGTCTGGAAACCAAGCTTTATGGGGAACGGTTGAGGAATAAGAGGAGGCTGAGAGGAGATAATACAGCCATCTTCAGATATCTAAAGGGCTGTCATATGGAAGATGGAGCAAGCTTGTTTTCTCCTGCTCTGGAGGGTAGGACCTGAACCAGTGGCTTTAAGTTATAAGAAAGGAGATTCCAACTAAACATCAGGAAGAACTTTCTGCCAGGAAAGCTGTTCAACAGTGGAATGGACTCCCTCAGATGGTGGTGGACTCTCCTTCATTGGAGGTTTTTAAGCAGAGGTTAGATGGCCACCTATCATGGATGCTTTAGTTGAGATTCCAGCATTGCTTGGGGTTGGACTAGATCATCCTCAGAGGTACCTTCCAACTCTACATTTCTATTATTCTATGTGGTGATCTGCACAGGGGCTGT